CGGAGGGGGGCAGATGAGTCCGGGGCTGGGGAAGGCCCGTCCGGGGGTGCTTGGGGAGGGGCGGGGGCGAGGGGGGCAGCTGCTGCTGCTGCTTCATCGTCGTCGTCCCCGGCGCTTCCTCCGCCGCCGCCTCCTTCTCAGACAGCTCGCCGGGCAGAGCGCATCCTCCATCCGCCTGCTCCGCTCCGACTGCCCTGCGCGAAGGAGGGGAAAAGTTCGCCGGAGGCTCACGCGGTTTCTCTCCTGCCCATTGCCGGCTTCCCCCGCGTCCGAGCGAGCCTAGGACCGGCGAAGGAGGCAGCCACCCCAGCCGCCGTTGACCCCGTAGCGGGCTAGTCAGCCGCTCCGCCGCCGCGCCTTCGGGCTCCCTCTCGCCTTACAGCGCCGCACTCCAGGCTCAGGTTACAAGTCCGGCGGACGGCGGGCCGGTGCCTGCAACTCCCTGCAAGCAAAAAAGTTGTTTGCGTCTCTCGCTCGCCGCCACCTTCCTCTCCGCCCAACTCTCTCGAGCTCCCGGGGGGCCGCCTTTATTCGCTACACCAGCGACCCCTGGAGGCCGGCCGCGACGAAGCCGGCGAGGCGGTGGGACGGCTCGCGGCTTCTCCAAACTCAGCGCGACTCCTTCTCTTGCGGCGGAAGACGTCATCGACCTCCTTTCCCATTGAGCCCTCAAGAAAAGGGCTAGGCGGGGGAGGCTCCCCATTTCCTAAGATCGCCTTGTTCTGGCAGAGAAAGGCGGATGGGTGTCGGGACGACATCAGCGCCCACAAGCGCTAAACAGGCTTTAGGTGGCCTTACTAATAATGGAAAATAAATGTTTAGATAGCAAAATAGGCCTTCCTTTTTGTCATGGCTGTTTTAGGAGGTACAATATTTCTATTCATAACGAAAAGGAGCCTCTCTAACTTCATTTGGTTTGGCCTAAGTCTAAGAGTCTAGTAAAGCAGGGCAAATACTACAACCAGCCAAATGCTACTTCTCGCTTTTTTTTTTTTTAAGGCATGACTTTTCATATGTAAGGGCAGCTCCAGCCCATTGCAAATGCAGCTTTTTCACATTCAATGTGCTAAAGACTACAAATGCAAACACGGATAGGCGTTATCCACAGAGAGAATTTTCTAACTAAGGTTCATTCCACTCCTCAGTTTGTAACTCAGGCTCAAGATTCTTTGAATCTACTGTGCAGGAGTAACTGGGATTTGCTCAGCTTTTGTTTCTTACAACTACTTCCCTTCCCCAAATGGTTGTTATTGAGAGGATGGAATCTGACACACTTGAAGAACTTGCAGTATTTTACTTCTGTGTCCTTTTTATCAATAATAATGGAGAAAGTGGGAATGGAGCAGTGAGGAATAGTGCTCAGTTAAAGTAATACTCCCTTTTCCAACCCTCCTATAACCTGGATAATTATGTGCACTTCTGCGAAACTGTAAGGGACACCTTCTTGCCTCCCTTTCTGGAACACTTTAACAACTTTTATTTAGAGGCTGTTGGTTAAGAAAAATAGGGCTGTATACAAGCATTTGAAAGAGGTGCTTTGCAACTCTCAGGAGCTGAAATGGTATATGGGAATGACCTTGGGAAATAGGAAGAGCATCAGCCTAGACACCAGTCTGATAAAAGTTGAGTCCAAAAGAGGAGGAGTGGTGAAAGTGTCTCAGAAGGGACCTTCCTTAGTTTTCAGGAGAGTAAAAGTGAGGGATGGGAGGGGTACTTTCAGATTTGCAAGATTCTGTTAATGTAACCTTGCAATAAAGATAGAGCTAGTACTGCCAGCTGTCCTTGTCTGGACTACCTTGCAAGGCTAAGAGGAGCATAGGCAAAGCTCTCTTACATTGTTACAGCCCCTGTGTCTTTTGCCAGACTGAGGTGCCTACTTTGAAAACACATTTGGGGCAGCTGGCTTTTGAAGCAGTTGCAGCCCTTAGCCTAAGCTTACCAAAAATGCAACCACTCTAGTAATTCAAAGAGAAATGATTCACTTATGGATCACTTTCAAACACTCTGCACAGCTTTAAGAGAAAGTAAAGAGCCTGTTTGATAAAGCGATAGTTCACTACAGAGTTAAAACAAATTGAACCACAAAGCTTAAGCATTTTCAAATTTGTGTCAAACTGAAGTTATGTGCAACAATGTCAAATTCATGCAAACAAAAAATAAACTTTCATATAGTGTAATTAGGATCAGGATGTACTTTTCTAATAACATAATTTCCAATGTTGGTAAGATCTTTTAACTAAGATCTTTGTTGTTGGAAAACCATTGACTTCAATAAAACAAAAGCATTTTACAATGGCTAATCTCCTTTCATATAAGAAATGCTAAAATTACCAACTCTTTCACCAACTTTGTTGTGTGAAAGTAAAATGCAAGAACTGCTGACTATCCATTGGCTTCAGATATTAATGTTATATTGTGTTCTGTTTGCAGCTTCTTGACACACACATCTTGATAATCTGTGAGATTTATTCATACTGTGAAGACTTCCACTCAGTGGACACTTGTATCTGATGTTTGTCAGTCCCTACTGAACTGGGAAGCCCCTTGAAAAGCTACTACTGAAGGTTGGGGACTTTCCAGATGGTTTAGGATATGGCATGGAGTGCGGAAGATCAGCAAAAATTAGTGCACAATGCGGTTTTGCTGTCCGCATCAGGGTGGGCCACTCATGGGGTCTCGACAGGCGAGAGTGAAGACAAACACGCAGGTTTTCCTCGAGGTGAGTGAGCCCAGAGCGTGTTCTGAACTACTCTTTTATTGGGTATTACAAGTCAGGAAGCGGGGGGGGGGGGGCAGGTGGTGGGGGCAGGTTGTGGGGGCATATAGCCTTTTATAGTC